TTTTCAGCGAGTTTCTGTTCGTCCCCACTAGACTTGTACATTGCTGCGACGACTTCATCGAGCAGCTGAATGTCCAGCGGTTGCGAGAAGTTTAATATCTGTGCTGCCGTAGCTTCTGTAAGCATCACTGACCTACAACAGAGAAGCACGAAAAGATGCATTAGAGCTGGAGATATGAGGATCCAGCCAACAAACTTATATAAAGATTAGATCTTGTTACGTTTTCATTAAAAGCACAGAAATCAAGAGGGGCACCAAATAAACATAAAGAGAGTAGAAACCGATGAAGTATGATTAAGCTGGGGCTGGAGTGGGCCTATGCATTTAAATGAGAATCTGTCAAAAATTTGCAAATTTTGCAATAGATAGACGAAATACTCGTTCGCGAAGGCCTTTGATATGTTCGGGGTGTAAAAAGGCTCAATTACAGAAATAGCTTTCCAGGCAGCTACCACCAACCAACGAGACGACAATATATAACCGGTTTCAACTGGATTTCAATGAACGAAATGCGCCCCACTCTGTTCAATCGCTTAAACATAGTTCATGATTAAAATGTGGAAAAAAATAATAATAAAATTAACTTTACAGCACAAATAGTTTTTGAAAACAAAAGAATGGTCATGATTGTTACGCTTTGCAGAGTAACACAACAAACACTTTTTAAACGGACACGATTTTTGCAACTAGAAGTCTCAGAATAAGTACAACAGAATATTTGACAACATCAAGTAATACAGATTGCCCTGTTTCAAAGCTCAAGAGGTAGCAAAACAACCCTTATCATGGCCGAGGCCATTCCACGTTTTGTTCAGCCGCTTGATTTGATTAAGCTATGCGGCCTTGCATTACTACTCCTGTAGCTCACGCCTTTCGGGGGTCCTTAATCCACTTTAGTATGTCCTATAATTGCCCCGAGGAATGCTGTGAATTATGCATTGGCAATCAAACTACTGGTTTCTTTGACATCAGCTAACACACGACGGCGAAATTATAGAAATCTCACCGGGCTATAATGCTTAAAGTCCCAAGGCGTCCAGTGCTTTGCAACTCGCCGAGTAAACTGCACCGGCAAGTAACTTTCCGAGTTGTCAAGTCTTTTATTTGTTCACATTCACCCATCGCAGTCTGTTTCCGCAAACCAGTAAATTGCCCAATTGCGGGGTTTACAACTTAGTAGTATTCTTGTCGCGCAGGCGCTCAGGCAGAAGATGCGACACTCAGTTAGCAAACTGTGCAAGCGCTTACAGAAAGTTTGGTACTTTGTTGCTGTGCTTGATTGCAACTTGACATAGCGATTGTAAGAAACAAATCGAGACACTTTGCAATTGGAATGTACTTGTAACCGCTCAAAGCATAAGAACCACGTGGATAGAATACCTAGTGAGTAGAGATAGCTGAAGTTACAAAAAACGCAGTGCAAGTATGGATGAGGTAAAACTGGAGAAAGTAGAAACACTTCCTCCTTTAGGCTGGTGTGGCTTCCACCTCTTCAGCGGTGACCTCGGTATCCCCGTAGAGGCCGAGCAAACGCAGAAATTGGCGTTCGTCTGCCAAATATGCATCGTATTCAGACTAAAAATTGAGCCAAAAAAGGAGATAAACATTTATGTCACAGGTACAGTGAGAGATTAAATTGAGTTGTGAATAACGTGCGGAAGCGCTCAATTTAAGTACCACCAATTCTGCATACTAAGTACTTTCTCATCGAGATATTTTCCCCCTACTTCAATTAATTCGATTGGTTAGGTGATGTAGGCCCCTAAAGGTGGACTTGAAAAATGCAAGGAAATAGGAAGAGCGTCCAAGATGAATTGAGGCCTTCGATCTTACAGGTTTTAACAGTTATGCTACTATGGTGGTACTAAATACCATGTTCTCTTACTCTTAATTAGTATACAGACTTAACGTGTGCAGCGGCGGCAGTGCGACCACAAATACGCGGATATTCGCTGCTTCAAGTACAGCAAGATAATGAGACGTCTAATCACAGTAAGGCATCTCAATGCGGTCGGCACCATTGACAATGCCGGTGCAGTACCACACTGGCAATTCCGGTGACAATTCATTCAAAACGTGGAACCCCTAATCCAGGAGGTATGATCTACGCATCTTTAACCCGTCGTGTAATTGTACAGGAGGGAACACCGCGATACAAGAGCAATGTCTGTGACTTAAAATCCTCTCTTCTTGGGAATCTTGAAATTCCCGGATCACCTGGAATGCGGTTATCATCCGTTTTAAGAATGATTAATATCTTAATTAAGTAACGTCATCGAACCCGCATTTTCTGCATCTTCTCCGTTGCACTGAGTTCCGCAACTGTGGAAATGCCAGCGAGATGTTTGTCCTCCGCTTCTTTCTGCATGCGCTCCTGCTCACGCCGTTTCCATCGGCTCACTACATAGGCACGTCGACGCACCTCACGGTCTATGTAGCCTGTCATCGCTTCCACCTCCTCTGGTCCGCCAACTTTCAGCCGATGTGGTATCTGTAGGCAGGAAGCAGGGGAGTAATCTACATTAAGGGATGCCTGATCGTGCCAACCGACGATGAGGAAGCCTAGAGAATTAATGGTGATAAAGTTGTAGAAAACTTCTCCCTGTCTTTTGAACGGCCGCGTTATTTGTGTACAAGTTAAACGAGGTCAACGTTAATCCTCATTATTTCATCATCCTTTAATTGATGTCAATAATTTTAGCAACAATTTTTGGAACAGTGACGATGGCACACATTTACTGATCTGACAGTGAAGATTAGCCATCTAGACATTTTTTAACTTGTTTGATAAGAAGTCTGACAACCAGCTGAAGAAGCTACACAAAATCATCCCGAACAATACCGCGGCAACCGAAGCTTGGAATAAGCAAACATCTGGTGTTCGACACTATTTTGTGGTTAAGCTCCGGACATAAGGTTACTATAGTGTGGGGAAAGCAGTTCCAACCAACAAGTGAATCTGCTCCAATTTTCGAAAAGGCAACTGTTTGTGCACTATTGAAACATTGAAGAAGGTAAAGAAGTTAACTTGAGATAAAAAACCAAACCTGAGAAAAAATCCGGAACTTTAATACCATACGGCCTAAATACAATCTCAGAGCAAGGTAATAAGAATGATTGTATGTTTACAACCTACTTACGAGAAGGATCTTCAGTGCTCCGTGCATGTCCCCAACAGCAAGAAAGTGTTTCCGGACCTCCACTTTAATTGATAGGGCGGTGAGAGCGGAAGAGGATACGGTATGGAGGATTGCTGGTTCATGAGTCTTGTCTAGAAGGTCCCATGCCTCTAAAACTCCATCGGCACGCATAATGTAGAACACGGAGGATCGAGAAGGGGACCAAAGACCACCTGAGAAAGGATCATACCACAGATCTTGAAACGAGTGACCTTAAATATTAACCAATGGTATCCATGATCTAAATATTTTTAAGTGGAACAAGCCTCAGTCGAACACTATTGGGTTTTGCCTTTTTTCCCTTTTTGAAGGGCTTGTGAATAAAGAATTTCCTAAGTACCTTTAAGTTAAATTTGCATGGAGATGGGAGGTTGCTTGGAAAATAGGACATGAGTGCTTAACATGAAAACTAGAAGGAGAATGTTTTGCAGTGCCACTGGTTATCCAAGCTCACCAAGTACGCTACTGATATCGACAATAAGTAGACACACCAGTCGGTGCCTTGGCGTAGGGGGCGGAGCAGAGGAGAGGCCCCGAGGTGACATTCTCCTTCCACAAGGACCACGAAAACCCGCCCACACAGAGCACCACCTCTGGCAAGAAGGGTGATCGTGCGATATAGACGATGGGACCGTCGTGTAATTGTGCCACGAAGCTGGGCATTGGAGTCTGTCGTTTAGCTGTCTTCACGTCTTTCTGCGGCATCCAGTCCACGCACACCATATCCCCATCTGCGGTGCCCACAAAGATGATCGAATTGATGCCATCCAATGGTTGTGCTTTTGGCAGTCCTACGCGATTTGGATCATTCTCTGAGGCTACCTTTTTGGCGACATTGGCTTTCAAGTCAAGCACTGAACGATCGCCCTGTCTCTCCTGAATAAAAATCGGATGAAAAGGAGTGATATAATGTCAAATTGATCACCTTTGACGCAATAAATTAGTCTTAGAATCGAATTCCATGGGGAATAAAAGAGTTATTTAACTAGCTGCTTCAGCGCTTCTAAGAATGTCTACTCCTAAATGCGCCAACTGGTCAGTGAAAAAAAAAGACACAGAAGAAGGAAGACCGATGTGAAAGACCGCATCGTCAGAGAATCACAACAAAAACACCAAGGCATTTCAATCACACATCAAATTTTACCCTTAAACATGAGACTGGCATTAAGAGCGTGGTAGCAATGAGAGGTAAATGACGAATGCGGTTCCGATTATTTGACAAAGAGGCGCTTTCTGCGAAATATATTCGCTGCAGAACGTTGCCAAAACTAATGGCAGGGGGTTCTATCCAAGTCAATAAGTTGTATAACTCTTGCTACCTGCGAAAATTTCCTTGCTGTAATGGAGTCAGGGAGTGTTTTCCGTCATATTGCCCAATTCATTTCTTATAATACTGGAGAGGACATACAGAGCATGAGAAGTGATTGGACGATCGTGCCTCGCCTCCTAACTCACTCGAATGCAGAAACAAGTGGGACAATGATCTGGTGCATTGTCGGGTCGGAAGAGATTGACATGAAGCAAGGGCTTCCACTTGGCATCCAGTGCATTGAAGGTCGCTGGGACATCGTGTGGCATAACCATCTGGTCGCGTGTCTTATCCACTGCCAAAACACATTTTTCGGGCCGCAGATCCCACACAAAGACACCGCCGTCGGTCGCACAGGTGAGTAGCTGCACACAGTGTTGCGACGTGTTCTCGTAGGTCAGACCGGCTCGGTCCAATTCAATGTGGTCGGGCAGCCATTGTAGACAGGTAATAGGTGTGGCGTGCGAGGCCTCTATGTTACTAGTTGCACACCAGGGCATCGTCGGCACCTATAAGGCACCTTCAAGTTCAAGTAAATTAAAGGGTTCATGATGTCCCAGTAGTACCACACACAATTGTAAGTGGCGAGTATACCATGCGTAACAGTCGGTGTGTATGTCGTGGACCAGTTCAGACATTCTTAACCCGGATGATTAGCGGAAGTTGCTTCCAAACCCCACGATTATCTACCGATGACTTCGAGTACAGTAGGACAATTCGCAGACGATAGGCGGTTCTTTGAAGTGATGGCGCGTTTAACTTGATCACGTGATCGTGACACTTATGACCCGGACTTCCAACTTGGTTAACGAGTGAAGTACAGCCCAATGAATCAGCCAGGCTCAAATTACGTCAAATTTACTTGACATTCTACCATAGTACGAAATAGAATGCAAACGCAGATTGCGCCCCAAATTACTAATTCCAAAGTTACTTATTTATTCCCAAATAAGTTTATGAACCTACCTTCTGACTTTCATTCTCATCGAACTGAAAAAGTGGCAATTCTTGTTTACTCTTTAGCTTCTCGAGCACATTGGTGAGGTCATATTTGGAGATATCCCACAACACAACCTCGCCATTGTTGCATCCTCCCGCAACAATGTGCGGATCTGTTGGATTGAATTCAAAACATAAGATATCCTCCGGGGCTAGCAACAATAATTGGGGTTGAATGGGATCGTAGAGACTCCACACAATTATGTAGGTTGGCGTCATCAGCACACGAGATAGCTGATTCACAAGTTCATCATAAGGCAGTCTCTCCACTGTTGACATTGCTAATAAACCCTCAATTTTGGGATGCCATTCAATGTGAGAGATAGCCTTGTCTTTAGCAAACCGCAGATCGGAAAGTGTGAGAATCTCCTTAAAGTTGTTTGCCGACTTATTATCATAAGTGTCGTCACTGACACCTAAATTGGCAAAATCGTCTTTCAGGAAGTTGAACATTAGATTCTCCTTCAAGCCCTGTTCAAATAAGCTAAGAACATTGCTTAAACCGCTGATAGGCCTCTGTGATAGTGTCTTAGTAGCACTAGTCTCCTTCTCCTCCATTAAAGCCAGACGAGGAATATACTGGACCACCTGGTTCCGTGGATAAAGCCAATCTGTGTTGGTATAATGGTCACTTCTGCTGTTAACACAAGTGACTCCACGCTCGAGTTCCATGACTGGGATTGAGAAATTCTTGTCCTCGTAGGGTTTCACTTCGGTGTAGGTTGGACCCTCCTGATGCACATTTAACTTCCGTTTAGCACCAAATTCATGACGAGGGCGCTCAAACTTGCTAACAATACGGGCTCGTGTTTCCACGCAACCCTCTTCTAGAATCTCCAAATCAGAACCCTGATTCGCCCAAGGATGCTCAATGCTAGGAAAGACCCAAGTGACGTCATCATCAGCTTCTTCAATTACATCCACCACGAGATCCTTTTCATTCACCTCTAGATCTTCTAACCGGAGAGTGTTATCCAAATCCTGAGAGAGGATCATGATAAAGTTGCCATCAAATTTCATCTTCTCATCCACGATGAAAGTGATGAACTCTCTGGGGTATTCAACAACCTTCTCCTTCACCGCAACCACGAGAGCGTCAGTGGATTCGGTGTGTTCGAGACTTCGAAGAAGGCTCTCCTTTTCGACATTCAGTCCGATGTAGACGGCGTCCTCAGGACGATCCACCATAGCGACGGAGTCGGCCACCGACACGTCGGATTGAAGAGCTGCCAGGGCTGGAGTCATGCGTAAATTAGCAATCCTCTCGTTTAGCCGTGTAATGGTTTGTGCACCAAAGATAGTAGTTTGTTGTAGGCCGTTAAATTTGAAGACGAGCACGTCGTCTTCAGGGAGAGTTTCCTGTGCCATAAAGTCATTAATGGCTTTCTGATCGTAGACCTCCTCCTCCTCCATTGTGCTCATTGACTTTATCAACTCATCCTCTGTCAGATCAGGCAATGTAGAATGTTTTGGTGTCTTCTGAAAGTGAAAAGAGGATGCTTTCTTGAGATTTGGTGAAGGCGTCTACTCTCTGATTTACCCTAAGCAGGTAGACTATGTTCTGAAACTCGTCTAGGATTCTGTACACTTTCATACAAACCCTTTAAGACTATTACGGTGAATAAAAACCTTATATTTTATTTTAACATTATGGTGTATTTAAACAAAGCAATCATGCGACATTAAGCAAACTGTCTTTGGAAACGTTTTTAAAATACGTGCCCTCATTTTTAATGCGCTTTAATAAAAGGAAAAACTCAAATAAAAGGAAAAACAGTAATAAGAGGAGCAAATGAGTTGTAAAATACATACTCTTGCTTGAGGTTTGCCACTTTTTGCGGATTTGGATCTAGGATGAGTAGAGGCTCGTTTCTAAAAGCAATATGTAACTTACAACACTATGTGGACTTTGAAAATAAAAAAGTTGTAGCTTTAAAAGTGTCGTCTTTTGTCTAATAGATGAGATACTTAAGAGCAACGCTAGGTAACTTTGACAACATTTTGTCCCTTACAACCTACTTTCTCTTCGAGATATACAAAAAGTAAATTGGGCCAGATGTCACTGAAATAGTCAAAGAAATTTGGTTGCAGAGCTTTTACCTTTGTAGGAGATTTGGCTCCCTTTTTTCCTTTAGGCATTGATGACCTAGATTTCATATTCTGCGAAACAGGTAGAATGTCATTACCAAAAAAGTTGAGCAAAATGCAGCACAAATGCACAACATGTAAAGCAATTCAACAAGACTAGATCAGGGTATAATGACAGTTTAATCTCTACATCATAGACGCCGCCTTATACAAAATTTTTTAAACATTAACAATGGTATTTTTTCACATGTGAAATGTGCATTAAAGTACCAATGGTGTACAACTATCAAGCTGAAAATACGGCATGTTTTTACTTTGGCGACGCATAAAAAAGTGCTTGTCATCGCGCAAGGTACTGCAACATTCGTCTTTTGCTTTCCTAATTTGAAAAAAATCAAACCATTTTTATAGACATAAAGTATTAGTTGCAGCCGGCTATTTGATTAGGTCGATATTTCAAAAACAAGGACAAGTGGACCCCAAAATACTGTTGTAACATGCAGATCCAAATAAAAAGCATTAGAAGTGTTAACCAAAAGCAAGTATACAAAATAAAAAATGAACAAAGAAGCGCGCATTAGCCACAGCATCAATTACACTACATCAGTATGTGTTGTATTTTAAAACCCCAGGATTTGTATCTGTTTAATGCCACGATTAGTAGGAAAGTCAAAAAAGCATTTAGCTTACAGTGACTTTGCAGATATTCCAAAATTTGCATAAGTAATGCAACCTACAGATTTCTAAACTTCTGTTCTTACTGTCAACTTAATTGCCTCTCACATTGACAAAGAGCATCTCACTTTAACTCTGCTCTTATAAGAAAAATAAACAGCCTTCAGTTCATAAACAAGTGACAGTGGAATTCCTTCCACGAAAATACTAAATTAATAAGACAGTATGGTGGCAAAAATACTAGGTCGTTTCCATGAGACCATTAAATAAAACACGAGCTCCACTATTGCGAAATCTCTTAGCGTCCTTTCATAAAAAAGTAGACAAATAAAGGTAAAGTAATGCATTACTACACGATTGTTGATATTGCTCAACATTATGTAAATTTAAATTAAAGTTGAAAAAAGGCCAAAGTTATGTAATTGGCAACCAAAAAGCCTCAGTTAAAAAGGATCAAAGTAGAATAGCCCAAAAGCAAATCAGCAGATATGGCACGCAGTGGCTAGCTCTTCCCAGTTTTCTAAGATATACCCTTCTAAAAAGTCGGGATATGACGACTACATAAAACAAATAGCTTTTTTTTTCAGCAAGCTAGGTAGCATAGAACTGATTTGTAACAATAGTCTTATATGATTTTTGATCTAGTATAAAAATCGTGCAAATGTGGTTTTTAGGGACCAACTGTTTCTTGAATGCATATATTTCCTAGGGAGTGTGAAGTCTACTTTAAATATAAGTAAGAAAAATAATAACAATAACGAAGCGTCCTTTTTTCATTTTGTTTATCGACAGTGTCTGTGGCGTGTGGTCTTGATATTTATTTTGTTTAAAATTTTGAAATCCTATTTATACATGCGACCTTATTCAACAAATGCTTTCGTTCGTCAGACTTTTGGAGAATGGTTCGCTGTAGCGAGAGGTACCGAAACCTTGGCTTGGCAATTTTCAACCCTAAGGAGAAGAAGTTTTGTGGCCGGACATGCAGGAGCTGGGGTGTGATCCAATTTCGCTTTTTGATTTGTTTAGCCCTAATTTTTGTTTATTATCTCATATTCTACTCTTGTCTTGCTGGATTTTGGATCGGAATGTTATCCGTGCTTATTTTTGCAATGATTGACACGACTGTTCCGTCATTAACAGGGATGCAAAGTCTGCTTAAATTGAATCCAGGTAGGCTTAATGGATGTGAAATTGCTTGTAGTGAAGCTAAAAAATATGGCGGGACATGCTTTTTAGCGTTTCTACTTTAACTAGTTTTATAAGGAAATATTTTTGATAATGGAACAACATGTGATTTTCTTATTGTTAATAAGCATTGTTCATGCATAAATTAATAGCAAGCTCTACGTAGTATAAAATAAAATTGTAGTAGTGTATTTGGTGGGTTATTTTTTTCTGTAGGTATTTCGCCAATGTACGCCTGACTTGTTTATTATCTTTTTTGAGGCTTGGGAATTCTGCCTCCCGTGGATAGCGAGGGCACTCTTATTCAACTGACTCTGTTTGATAGCAAACAGAAGCAGGACTACCTGAACTTTATGCAAAGTTACTTGATGGGCTACAGCAATATTTCAACTAATTGCGACTTTGAAAACGGTACTAGAATAAACTCTTCAATACTTGAGCCTTGTGAATTCCCTCTCTCTCTCCTTGGCCCCTGTGCTGATCCAGCCGACTACATAAATTCCCATAACAACTTTTGCTTTTACCTTAAGCTCAACAAGGTATTGTTTCTTAACATTACTCTGCCTTAACTTACAATGAGATAATTTTGAACACTGCAACCTTTTCTCAACTTAGATCTATGGATACCTTCCTGACATTGAAGGAAATAAGATTCCCATTCAATGCGGTCCTGCCGTGAGTCCCTGATTCTCTTTTTAAGGATTTCATTACCATCTACTAAATCTACAACCATTTGAATAGAATTCTTTTGATGGCGCTAATCTTGGTCAGCCAGTTTACTACCCGTCCGTCAGGACCGCTAACGGAACTTTGTAAGTTATCACCTCACAGTTCTTTAACATGCGGATCCATTTGTATCACAACGTAATTTTTCTCCTTTTTTCCTCTGCAGTGGCTACTTTTCTTCTGTTGCCTTCCCATACCTTAATCAACCTCACTATCAAGTGCCTCTTTTGGCTGTCACCTTTCCTGACATCAAGCCAAACACTGTTGTGATGGTATCTTGCGCCGTACTCAATGTAAAAGACCAGGAACCCTTCCGTTTTGATTTGGCCATCGATATGGACAGGCCAATTGCCCTGACTTAGGAGTCATTCGCTCTCTGGCACATCATTGCTTACTCCATTCTAGTCTTCTGCGTCTCCCTTTCACTTCTCCTTCTCTCTTCCCGCCTTAGTAATAATGTGGATGTGATAATCGAAGTTATTCTGCCACCAAACCCAGTGTGAACACTAGATTTTATGCTCAAATTATCAAATCCGGGCCTTAAATCGTGTTGTTAATAGTATGGATTCTAACATGGCAACAAATCCCCATTTTGCCTGTAAATACTCCATTCTGATCGCTCTACCTGATTGTCTATTTACGTATTTATTTACTTTGAGGAAATGTGGTCAAATTAAGTTTTGCACTTATTTAAATTTAGGGGGGAGTTGGTGGCAGTAACTAAAAACTTTGAAGTCACCTTTGCAGTGACAACTTTGTTGCCTTTTTAATCGTTTAATCATATTAGAATTTGTCGCCGAACCTAATCATGACATTGCTGCGACTTTGTGCAATCCGCGGACGAGAGACCATTGTCATGGAAGTCGCAAAAGTGGCCTATGTATGCAGATTTTTTACCAAAAAGTCACGTTTTACCACAAAGACCGGTACAAAACTGAGCTTACCTTTCTGCCAATCATGAACTGCCAACGGCTGTTTGTGTAGAGTTCGTTTTGAAAATATTGCAAAGTGGAAGGACGCACCTGGTCACTGCAACACCTTTAGAATGTAAAAGCCCATTAAATGTACCCAAATGCGTATTAAAAGTTAAGAAACTGGCAAAATGGAACTTCCTGCATAAATCGTTAATGAAACTGTCATATGCCTATCAATTGCCAAGGTGGAGTGGCCTATGATCGCAGATGATGAGGGCATGCCGAAGGACTCCATTTTACTGTATGTGTGAAGTTGTGATTAACTTTCCCCTCTAGGCCATCTTCCCATATAAGGAGGGGGATATGTGGGGGTTTACTTACCATTTTAGCATTCTCGATGTCCACACCCCAATCTCACGTCTACTCGAATCGAACCAATGCCCTCATTTTCAGTTTCTTAGTGGGCTTCCCTTTTGCCTCTCGACAATCCAGTCTTCAATAGTCTCTATTTAGTTGAAAAAGAGGCAGTTAAGTTGCACTTTTTATGGATAATATGCCTTTCTATTCGACATTTGGATATCGCACGTGTCTCATGGAGAAAAAAGTGAAATTTTTAGTGGGAACTCTCCCTAAACATCACTTATCTCTATATACTTATGCTTGCAAGAGTTGACGAAGAAGTCATCTAATCACCACTTAGTAATTGTGTTAGGAACGACTATATCCCATTATCTCAGCGGAAGATTTTCACGTAGACTGCCAAGTTTACGGGAAGTGGAGATTCGTCTTAAAGGGCCGGCTCCCAGATATTAAGCCTCACACCATCAAGAGGGGTCTCCATGATAAATGGGCTTGGAGTCCTACAAAGAGCATTAGTAATGTGCAAACAAAGACCAGACAGTGTTGGTTCGTCTGGTTTACTAGGCTTGGGAACAACGGTAAATTCTGGAACATGGCCCTAGCCCCATTGGGCGTTCTCCATGCTGTTCTCTCTCTTAATTTGGCGAAATTCTCTTCTATATCATCTTCAATATACAAATACCACTACCTCCAACAGGTGTCATATACTTTTCGGATCATAGATTATGCAATATGGGAGAAGAATGATGGTTTATGCCATGTCGTGTTTATATAAAATCGGCGCCATCATTTCAGTACACCAAATCGTGGATAAACAAATTACAAGAGGCCTTGTTATGACTGCTAATGTCCTCATCTCACAAATAAACAGGATTCTTGCAGTCGATCTCCGAGCTGCCAGAGTCCAGGTCAACTTCCCTGCACTCCTGCCTACCCGCTTGCCTGATCATAAGTTCATTCTCATGTCATTGTCCTCATCAAAGTGCAACCAAGTGGCCCCGTGCAGATGGCCGTCAATGCTGCCTTCTAAATTCATCACCCTCATTTTCTGTTGCTTTTTCTTTCTACTGCTTTTGCAGCAGATTTGCGCAGTTTATCCTTAATGATATGCACATTTTAAGAAACAAAACACAACGAACAAGTTGACAGTATTTTTCATTCCTTTTGTTAGTGTTTGCAGAATGGTTGCGGGTAAACAATTTATTGGAGATTTCACCAGGACATATGCCATCAAATAGGGTTTAAGTGGCATGCTTTCAATACAATTTCGGCACCTTTTTGACCAGTTTTTCCCTATACTTGTGATGACACTCATCTGCATAAAAGTTCAGCTCAAGGGAACCAAGCGTCACCTAACTAAAAAAGGAGTCCGAATTAAACTACATTTTGATCTAGGCGAATAGATTGGCCTTTATTTCACCCTCAACCTCGAGGAACACGATCACGGCTGTGTTCAGGGTCACATGGAATGCACCAACCGGAGGGTGTAATGTGATGGCAAAAACAGCGATTTCGGGTGTAAGTGCAGTTTGAAAGAGTGCTATAAAACCGAATATTTTGTGCGTTTAATGCTTCCTCCCCCAGGGCGAAAAAGAGTGAAGCAACTTGTGTTACTGATCTGCCAGGACACTAATGATGGATCCATAGTACCCGTTTCAAAGCCATACATACATACTACTGAAGTGAGAAGAAAGATGTGGGTGTGTAAGGGACTCGAGTCCTAGGTTCCTATGGTTTGGGAAGCATACACTCTGATTCGTTCTTGTAGTCACTTGTCATTTGCAGACCCATGAGGGGCTGGAGCACATCTTAAAAAGGTGGATAAACTGTGCAGCACTTAGCTCCAGTGAATTTGCGACGTAACTGTGGGATCGGCCACTTGCATCAAATGTCAGTGTCAGCTTACAAATCTGAAAGGCTTTTGAAGGCGTACGTTGAACTCACGACTTTGGGCGCCGTAGCTATTCATTGGAAGGTGCTATGACCTGTCGACTCAGTCATGATCACAGCGCATGATGAGGCGTGTAAGGCCTGGAGCGGACGTGACTCGCACACACCTAACGTGTTTACATGAAGGTCATTGGCACTGTGGAATCGCACAGATCCAATTTCACCAGTCTTTGTGTGTTTATATTACTTCCCCTCAAATGCATCATTTTGCAACACTGGATAGCAAAAGTGCTAGGCCCTAAATGAAGCTGCTTATTCAGTGGTACAGTTAATAAATGGAGCAATTTAGGAGTGGATAGACTATATCCACTGAGAATCTTGTTATCAAGGCAATCTCTAAAAGCGTTTTCCTCTAAGAACTTGGTGAACTCAGAGTTTTTTGGGGGAGGTGGGTAAGCGGGGATATTCCTGCAAGTCGGTCATAGGCCTCCTTTTTTATTTGCCTCATGCGACCGACAAATAGTTAGTTGCTTGAAAGAGGATGAAACTCAGTTGAAAGCTTCATTCAGGGATCATCGACCCGTTTCAAGACCGAGGTTGAGAGTGAAATGAGTCAGTAGCAAACGACATGTTTAGTGTCACCCTAAGGACAACGACAAACTGGTCACAACTGGCTGGATTGCTCCGAGTCACCTCAGTCATAATTATAGATTAAACGCATTTGGCTTATTGCATGGTCCTCATTATTCAAGCTAAACCATCCTTTTTTTTGTTTTTCTTGCAAAACAAAAGGGCAAAAAGATTGTGTGACTTGGAGTAATTGGATAAAACACGGGCGGGATTTACTAATGGCGATTAAAGTGGGTTGGACAGTTAAAGTGTTTAACGAAAGGAGTCGAACAATAGTCGTAAAATCCAGCAAAAGGATGGGAAAGCCAAGAGAATCCTTATGGTCTAAAAATGTTGTTGGAGTACAGAAGGTCTGGCACACCTTCGTCAGAGAGTTATACAGTCTGGTGGAAGTAGAACCCATTGAGGTCGAAGAGCCCGCCTAGTTAAGCGCACCTTACAGACACTATCGAAACATTCGGTAAGTCTGCTTATTCTTTGACGTTTCATTCCCAACTCTCCCCGGAGTCCTTTTTTGGCTTTGATCGCAGCAAGGTAGTCAAGTGAAAACTAGTAAATTACAAGATGAGGTCGAAGAAAATGGTAATTTGCGTCAGGAGGGAAATACTGCACAAGTCGATAGGTGGTCTTGGATCCCACGTTATCTGCTGGGCTGACCTTGGCGGAAAAGATTAGCTTTTTATCTTGTATTTGCCTCCAGGGTAAGTTACGGGCGCAACTTTGTGCCTTTCAGTGAGGTCTGTTGCTTCTCCCCAAAGGTATATGATGCTTTAACTCAATCGCAGTGAAAATCTACAAATTTAGTAAAATACAATAGATATTAACCACCAAAACGTTCGATACCGCATCGGACGGAGTCTTCTGCTCCACCCACTAATGTGGAGTCTTCAGTTTCCTCTGCAGCTCTAGTGAGACAGCAATACAAAAGATTAGAGGGTTTGGGAGTCCCTAGGCGTGGTCTGCTAACCATGACGTCAAGTGGATATTTGGCCTGCGGAGAATAAAGAGTCCTTACAATAAAAAGAACCAAATCACTATAAAACGTACATCGGAGGCGGCGCAAATTCATCTCAGACAATTGCAGTATTTCCGGTTGCCCATAAGATGTTTATTTCTTCGAGTTAGATGACCAAATAGAGTTACCAAAACAGGCTAAAAGGTGACGCATATCTTACAGCTTTTCCATTTTCAAAGCATCCAAAAACACTCCGTTTTACAAAGATTCATTGGCCACGTCCAGTGCGATGTAGTAAATCTAACTCCCAAATATAAAAAAGAAACTGTTTGTGGTAAAATTTGTTGATGACGCCAAAACACAATCAAGAATTTGCAGAAAGTACATCAGAAGTGGCCAGCGTATACATGGTAATGCACCCTAGGTAAGACGAGCATTAGCGCCACAAAGATTTACTTATTCACACTCTTAACAGTAAGGCTCACGAGATTATTGACAGTTCATGTGTATCCTCAATGTATACTCATTTATGATTTATCCCCTGGAAGAAGTCAGCCCACTGCCTAACATACCAAAATGGACAAAAGGAGATCGGTATTGAGGCAGTGGACCAATTGACGATGGTAAATGCGCACACCCTGTGTGGAAAGGTCAACACCAGCAATGGCGTCAATGAGGACGGACTTCCGGAGTTTGCATCCGTCTTCAAATGGCGCCACCCGAGCCATGGTCGTTGGTCCAAGCCTTACAAAGAAGTGCCGTGTCCTTTCACTTCTAATTTTCTAGGATGTGCAATGTGACTATTAATTACAAAGCAGTTAAGACTCAAATAAGCGAAGGTTGATGCAGCTTTGTCAAACTATGACACGACAGTCGAACAACTTCAGATCTCATCATTTTAAGACCAACCAATGTGATGTAAAAGTGGTATGCCGTGATAAACAGATTTAAATTTGATCACGCATTTCAAGGAGGGACCTTCTTATTTCACTGACGCATTTCACAGTCTTCAATAGGCACTTTTTTTGACACTTGCTACAGCTGTTAGCGCTTACATTTAACCAGACATCAGGTATCAACTCTGATGTCAGTCCTCTCAAATAGTCCATTTCCAAAATAAGCCTAGCCTACAACATCTCTTGTATCAACACCCACCAATGAGTTCATTTTGTAGGGGCTCATTTTCAAATTCATTAGAGATTTTCAGCCAACTTATTCATTGCTCAAAAGGAACTTCTTCGATATGTTGCAAATCGCAGCAAAAAAAAATCACCTAAAGGTGATAAAAGCTATAAAAAGAGAAAGTAAAGTATGCGGAAAGAAAAGTGTTTAATTTGAATGTACCATATCAGAGATTTAAAGTTATTTATCGACCTTGAGTGAGAGCGCTGTCCAAATATGCAAATGAACGGATGAACAACATAAAAGAGTAATATTTGATAGTATACTCTGAGATGTCGGAGTAGCGACAAAGTAGTAGCATAAAGAAACTAGTTGTATAATTTCTAAAAGGACAACTGGCCTTTGAAACTAACATTTTTCCATAAAGGGACCACAAATGAGAAAATTTGCCACTGCGAAACGCTCCTTAACGGGCCCCCTAAAGCCAATGCACGCATTTACAGGGTAGTCTTTATTTAACTCTAGCGCGATGCGTATGATGATAGGCATCAACAAGCTCCCACATTGAAGCCCCGACCACCGAGGTCATGTGTGTGCACATCCAACTAAGTTGTCAGGTGGCCAAAAAGTTTAGGCCATTTTTTTTTTTTGGCGTAGCCCGCTGTAATGGCTATTTATAGTTGGTAGAGGCTTATGTAATACATTGTAGCGCATGAACGTGTGTCAATGTACCTGTACTTTGCCACTTTTACCCTATATTTATGTTGTAAAATATGAATTGAATCCGATAGGCGTAATTCGAATTTGCCTGCTTCAAAAACCGAGTTTAACTAGTTTCTAGAATAAAAAAGAGCTTTTTGCAACATTTGTTTAACACTTAAAGGAGGTCCAATTTCAGAGCGGACCACTCGAAAGTGTTTTGATCACTTTAGGGAAGAGTCCTCAACTTTGACAATAATGAAGAAGTACGTGCTGCTATTGACAAATTTACATTAATTGCGCAAAGAAATTCGCAAAAGTTTCCGTGTAAGTGAAGCTTATCCATACACCCTAACAGACGGCAGTGAGCCGCCAGGACTATTATTTTCCTCACCCCATTCAAATGCGTTCTGTAAGTACACCGTTTTCATATCATTTGCTCCCTAGCTGATTTGTGATGAAAAATGGCTGTTGCGCTTTTGCGTCCCAAAATTAAGTGAACAAATGTTTCCTTGATTATTCCCAAACGATCCATGGGCAGACCTTTAAGGTATGAGCTGCGCCACCCTTGGAAGGTTATACTTGTTTCAGGTGCAGTTCACGGTAGACGAAACCCTTCGCTTTCTAAAAATGAAAAAACCATTACGGCTGTGAGAAATGTCCTTGTAAGAAACAGTCATGGCTAGTCAATCAGTCGAAAATCAGATCCTACTCTTTTTCCTGCAGGACAGCTGAAGACCTCAGACACCGGTTTAGGGTGTGGGGTAGGAGGGAAAGGAGAGGGATATTACCTTGTCTCTCCTTATCCACCGTACCTGTTGACGACATCGCCCCCGCATAAGACTAGCTTTTGACAACCACATAGACTACAAAAGACACAAGTGAAAAGTAAAAGTGAGACAGAAACGGAGGTTACAAAAAGTCCAATTTTCACCAATCTTGTAGACATGAGAATTGCATAAAAGGGTAATTCAAAGCCAATTTCCGCCTTGTTGGAAATGGACTACTAATTGTGATGGTGCTTATTCAATGGAATAATTAATGTGCAGATCATGCGGCGGTTATTTGACTTTTGCTATAAAATTGGCACGAGATTGTGGAATATCTTTCTACTCTTATTGTATAAAAAATACTTAAAAATAAGAAAAATTGGCAAGGAATAATATCCAACGTGGGTTAAAGATGACAGTTTTCAGTAGTCAACTTACAAGGCATGTAGGTTAAAACAAAATTTTTATTAAAAATCGTTCAGCACAATAAATTAGCGTCCAAAACAGACATATCATCATTAAAATATTTGCGCTTTCATCAGCCAAACCCAAAAATTTTTCTGAGTTCAACAGCTTGAATTTATGTTTAGCTTGTGACGCCTTTAATTAACACTTCCATGTTTTCCCATCAGTGCAACGGAGGAGTGTGATTTGACGGCATGAAAAGTAGCTAATTTTCCATTCAGAGACAATAATCATCATAGCTTTGTCTTCTGTTGAGATGTCAAAAATTGGTGTTATTTTTAACAGGAGGTTAAATTTAGTTTTCTACGCGTTTCCTTTCGTTTCGGTGGCATGGGTGATTACCTTAAAGCTGTTATTTAGACTATCAATCAAGCCTGCTTTCACATTGGCAGTGGGTTGGTTATTACGCCTCGGGGAGCTGCAAATCTGATCCAAGTGTTGAACAGCCCCTATCTCTTTGGCCGTTTAATAAACCCAAACGTCAGAGCAGGAAAGTGTCTGATGTGGAGTGCTAAATCTACACCAATTCATTTCAGAAGGGATAAACTGGTGTCCAATTCCGGCTAATTTCGAATTTGGTTTGTAGTAAAATTAAGGCTAATGAAGGGAGTATACAAAGCAATGAACCAGCAGTGACTCTAACCAAAGATTTACCTTCTATATAATAATCAAAGAAGAAAAAATTTTTTAAGCCACCTAATTGTAGATGTTAGTGGACAAAACAGCTGGTACGCCGTGCATGCTCGGTGTAGATCATCGACCAACCTTTGACACAAACCTCCAATTGAACTCGTCCGCGATGCACAGAACTCAATCATCAAGAGCTCTCACCAGCTATATCGCGTGTACTAATGCTAATATGCAACATTCCCCCACCCTCATCTCCGAGCCTATCACGTGGCTATCCTGACCTCATCAGAAGGGTCGTTGATGTTGAAGCAGAAGAGTGAGGTCTAGAAATGGGCTGAACTTTATTGGATGTATTTTTAATTTTGCGAGCCCGCTAGTCACCCTAATTTCATCCTCTACCTTGGTGCTATGTCTAGAGCATCTCCCTACATCTCCGAGCATCTTTCATGTAGTTTCATCTCTTCACCAAAACCGTATAGGCGAAATTACTTAGATCTGTTACTTATTGATAGTTATATTTTGTGGTAATTTACCAATAAAATAATCAGCTTGAGGTCACTGGGGCAACTATGAATCACTTCTACTGTGATAAACCATGGACCCACTTGTAGGGTCACTCCCGAGATGTTTCGCATCGTCGGTTTCAAGTAACAGGCAGAATTTAAGGCAAATTAAATCTGTGCCCACTAATCATAGTTTGACAGTTTAAAGTTAACCTTTATAGCTGTTTGCACCGCCCTACGGATGCAAATTTTTAATGGAACTCTGCTTACTTGAACGAGAAAAATGTGATTCTTAAAGTCCTAGGTAATGCAGTGATGAAGAGTACTTAAGCAATAAATTAACTTAGTTAATAAATGAAGTAATTTAATAGACTAGTTTGATTATCGGCTGTCATTTGTTTTGCCCATTTAATAAATTTATTACTAAAGAACTTCTCTTAGTATCATTTAAAAGTAATTACAGATCAAATATTGTCTAGAATTCTTGATTACATCTTAAAATAGACATTGCAATTTATTAAACACCCAAATGAGTGAATATTTTCGCACATTAGTGATGAGGCTTTTGAATGGTTCGTTCAAGTCTAACCTCTTCACAATCTGTCTGCTGACTAGTAGTTTGTTTGAATCTCTTTTGCAGAACTTTACCAGTTTGTGACTATTTAGCTCTCCAAGACCTCTCTGAAGACGAAGGAAGACATAACACTGGGGTGGAATATGTAGTATTGACGTACGATGGGCTTGTGACTGCTGGCATAGTCTGGAGGCCAAGCCCTCCAACGGAGGTTTAATAGCGAATCCGAGAGTTAAACAAACAATTAAAATACTACATTGTATCTGATTCCATACGTCCACTTGCCCTCTTGCAATTTGGTCTTCGCGCTTTCAGTGTGCGGCTCTACTCATCATGACACTAGTTTTTCGGGCCGTTTGTGCGTTTATTATAAGGCGCCTTTCAGGCTCATTTGGATCATGAGGCCTTTAAAAGTACCTTAGCGTCCTGCTTCCTCTATAAAGTCGTAAAATGTCGTATCGATGTGAGATAAGAAATAGCACTGATAAACAAACTTTGCAAGATCAATGTCATAACCTCTCAAGGCAGAAGACGTACTAACGAAGACTGACGTGCCCTTGCTGTTGTGCACACATTTAGGTCCACTTCCTTCCTTGGGCGTCCATCCTGGCATTACCACCTGGTAAATGCTTTAGAACCGTCCACAAAGCAGGAACGGCAGTCATTTAACTTGCAAGGAGAAGAGATGACATTTGATTCTAACATTATTGACAAATTTTGGAGATTCCATCGTAGCCAGGGTTTTGTTTCCCTTTTAGCTACATCAGGAAGATGGAGAGGATTCACTAGTTTTGCACTGTTTAAGGCTTGATGACGCCCTACAGGTGCATTGTATGCTCCGGTTGCAATGCAAAAGCAAAATATGCTTTAATGCAGAATCTTTTGACAACAGGCGTGCTTTGAAGTATCTTTACGACGCTAATATTTTACATATACTTCTACCTGCAACCCTATTCTTACCTTAATGTTGTCCAGGCATCGATCTTGCCCTTGCATAAGCATCGTGGCAGTTGTCACATTATTCAAATGTGGTGTCGCTTCAATTGTTAATTGCCTTGAAGATAGGAGGCATTGCCAAATGTGCTCATGGTTCACTTGATTTTATCTACACCGAGTCTACAGACTCAGCCATTCGCAGTGAGTGCCTTCTCTCAGACACTCCATTGACTAGCTGGTGACAGTGGTGAACGAACTCGACATAAGAGTGGAACGACCCAGATTGCATCCCCTAATTGGTGAATCCAAGTTTTGTGAAAGGAAGACATCTGTTGTGGATGACCGATCTGCGGTGGTCGTCCTCTAGCCCACCTTTAATTTCGAGTTCTGTACAGCAACTGCTGATGGGGGAAGACCAGATTCCAGCGAATAACTGCCGATCTCCAAGAAAGGGTCAGTGTAGATTTACAATCAAAAAATTTACATCACATTCCAATACCCTAAGTGTCTTCTTCCCAATGTTCCTCAAAATGCAAATGGCGTAGGATATGCGCCTACCTCACGGCATCATTCGGCTTCCAGCGCAAGTGCCTAAAATAATTCACAACCATCGCTGTTCTCCTTCCTTATTATGACTTTTGGGGACGAATCCAGATGACGCCTGGGCACCGAATTTACCAAAATCCACTAAGCTTCGACTAAATGTCACCTATTCAGGAAGTGCAGGTCCAAAGCGCCAAGTGGTATTTTTATCCTTTTCCCGGTCAATTAAATACCAACGGACCACACACACCATCATACCAGTTGTTCTGTTTATTCGAGTTTGGTAAATTCAACTTCTATAAACAGAATCTCAACGATGGAGATGTTATTCACGTTATGTTAATTTAAATTCGTCTAATTACCATTTTCCTAAATAAAATTACTTCTGACACTTTAGCTTCGCGAAAATGACAAATGTATTAAGTTCTATGGATAAAAAAATGTTTGAAAATCATGTTTGCTGGTAAAATAAACCCAATTTGGGATAAGAGGCATAAATACGCGTTTAGAAATATTCACTTTAGATTAAAGGCGAGTTCTAATATCTGCCAACAACAGTCAAGAGGAAACGGGAATAATCACCATGGGCATCACTCTTGATCCAATCCTCCAACGTTTTACCATTTTTCGCCTCAAATATCGCCTTAATTTCGGCCATATTTTCCTAAAGAATGTAAAAATTCGAATAAAAATTGTTATAGAAACAGTAATTAATGATACAAACGAGGCTCTACTGAATAAAACTTGCCTCTGCGTAGGCCAATATGAGGCGAATTAGATCGTCGTCGCTAGTCCCCACACCTTTCATTGAATCCCGAATCATGTCTGCAATGCATTCCTCCTTTTTGATAGCTGTTTTAACTGGAAAAACAACTGTCAAATTTTGCCTTCCAGCGTCTTTTAAACAGAGAAGTTAATAAATTTCCAGTGTATCTACCAACAGTTTTGACCGCGTCTTTGAAATCACCAGAGAGCTCTTTTTCAATGGCATGCAGAATATCATGTCCAGTTTTCTGAAGATAAGAAAATAAGTAAAGAAAAGAAGGTGTCAAACTATTCCTTGTGGTTAAAAGCCCAAATTATTAGTTATTTGCGCAGTTCACTAAGCAAATCATTTTCAAAATGCAGTGCATTTCTTCAAAACACATGCAAATCATAACCATGAAAAAAGTTTTATGAATCCAGACAGATGGTGATTAATGGAAATTAGTGTTTTAAATACTATCTCCTTGGAACTACCTACGTGTATGCGACTAACTGATGTGGATTCAGAACCACTACGTACTTGGAAGTAAAGTTCGTCCAGCAGACGAATTGTCTTGTAGCTCCGTCTTGCAAATATTCTTGTAAAAACTTCTTCATCAGTCCCAAGTTTTCTTCGTAAGGTATAAAATAATTAATGCAGAAACCACGATAAACTCGGCTTAACAAACTCAAATGAGCCCGACGAGGCTCTTTTACTTAAAACAAATTAGTAGCAAATGGATTAGTAACTAATCCCACTGGTAAGTCCACGGCATTGAGAAAGAAAACGGCAAAAGTACTTTTCAAAGGACGTACTCTTCTCCAGCAGAGTACAACGCATCCGCATCGGCTTCAGCTGCTAACTGGTCGACGCCTTGCTGCCTGATGCCCTGTAACAAGGCCACGATAAATTTTTCAAAGTCACCGCTCAAGTCATTCCGAATGTCCTTTTCAATATTTCGGCGCAGTGCTGAAGAAAAAAAGCACAAGTTACTAGCTGATTCGCAAAAAAATTTATACATGTTTTCTCGCATATAATATAAATGCGAAGTTCCTTCATTGCTTCTCAATAAAAGAAGGAAAAAAGAGTAGTGACTGAATGTATTTTCCAGTATTTTAGTGCCAAATGGAGAAAAGATGACGCCTAAATGAAAGTTTAATAAAGCATCTGAAAATTCTGAGGCCAAGCAACTTACGGTTTTCCTTTTTCGCCACGAGAACTAAAACGGAAAATACATCAGTAGGCTTTTTAACACTATTTAACACCATTTTCCGTAGTTAATGGGTCTCCTTATGCTGGTGCGACTTATTAAGATGTCAGAGCTCTGAGACAGTTTAGCAAACAACAATCTGCAAAAAAGAATGAAAAGCATCTCTTTTTAAGAGCAAAAGGGAGTATTTGAAGATTAAGCACCAAGACAGCTTAAAAAAGAACCACCACTCAGTTAATTTGTGATAATGGCGTCATAGTTTTAGGTATTTAAAGTGTTGGCTGATTTAGAACAATTTTTGGGCTTATAGCCCTGCGAAGATCTCTTTTGATATTGTTTAATGGCACCACAATGCAAAAGCACCAAAACTCAAGAAAAGATGCATAATATTCATTTCCTTAACAGAGTAGAAATATGTTTGAATAAGAAGTGGGCGGCGTAGTTATGTTTCGATCATTTCACAGCAACTCGTTATGTACTTTGTGAATACGCAATTACGGAGAATGGCCTCATATGTTTCGTCTATTCATTTTGGTTTTTTGTCTGGCCTTACCTAAAAGGCAGCTTTTACGTGGATATGCAGAATCTGTATTGAAAGCAACCGAAAAATCCTTTTCTGTAGACAGTTTTTGCCAATAAACTGATAAGACGGATATAAAAGTGAAGGTTTTAGAGTCAATAACTTTGAACAGGAATTTGATCATTGCAGTAGATTGCAGTAACACCTCTTTAACACTATGGCTAATCCCTAATCATTCTAAAACATGGTGTTTTAGCACAATCCTCCTTTATTAGCTGAGATCACGTATGTATACACCAAGTGGGACAATCTTCACTATAGGGCCAGGGTCAGTCAAATACTGGAAATGAGTGAGGCTAAAACCACGCCCTGTCTTCGGCGGTATCCATTAGAAAGTCCTCCATTAAGTGCGCACATGCTGCACTCTTTTGATTACTTCTATTTCAAAGTCTTCGGCTGTTGCTTAGTTTGGATAGATTCCCAACAAGATCCAGGTTCAGGGACATAAAAATTAATTTCTGACAGGGACATATGGAAGATCTTATATTTAATATCGTGGTGTCTATTTATTTTAAATAGCTACACTGTATGATATTCCGAACAGATTGCTTGATTTTAAAACGGTAAAATGAGTGTGGTGCTATTCTCGTTTTGAGAGGAAATACTTCTAGTTTGTTGCCAAGTTACATAACACAACCTCCGAGGTTGTGGTAGCAAAAATTGAGTAGATCACAGGCAACTTTCCGTCTTCTTCCTATTCAAAAATGGTATCGACATACGAAATCATTGCGTGTGCATTTAGGATGTAGATGTGAAAATTTCAACGCCTTATTGTGGCTGCCATCAATAGGTCGGACAGTGGACGGAGGAGTGGGAGTAGCTCATTCTTTTCGAAAATCCACAACACGATGGCAAATGTTTAAAAAAAGGCCAACCATTTGGTTATGTCAAGGGAATTATGTAGAGAAGTAAATTGCTCGAACTAGTAAAAGGGATTGGTGACACGTTCTTTCTCAACGAGACGCAGAAACTGGCAGCAAATTTTTCAACGCTTCAGTTCTGTTTCCTTCTCGCTTTTCCTTCACAGCTGTGCAATCTATTCTGTGTGTGATTGTTTTATGGCAATGCTACAGTATTAGCTAATAGGGTGGTAAATGAAGAAAAACCACCCGTCCACCCTGATACCTGCAGCGGGTTCTTCGCAAGGGTAAGTGTTGGGACATTGAGAGGTTTGAGGTATTGCATTGTCTCGTATAAAGAAAGAAGTTATTTCTGCCGTATCACTGATTCCGACCTACAATGCCTCATAAACAAGGCAAGTACAGTGTTTTGGCGGCGAAGTGGCGCCTTAGAAACACACATGTGGGTTGCTAAGTGGATCGCATGGGACTAGTTTGTTCGTGTAACAGAAGTTGTTATAAAAGAAGCTACTCCTATTCATAAGTAAGTCAGTCAGCATACAATCCTTCTCCAAAGGAACGTTTTCAGGAAGTAAAATATGTGAAGAACAGATGAATGGTCCTACTGTCTTATTGCCACCTAATATGGTATGGCATTTGGGTGGAACTAATTTACCCAGAAGCCTTCATGACTTCTGCTTTCTAGCCAAGAGTAGGTTAAAAAGAATTGCCTCATTACTGCTATTGTTTCTAATAAGACTTATTAATCTGCGCTTGTTTTAATGCATCTACGACAGCACCCGTCTCCTCATTACTACCAGCATTAGAGGCTCTTCCTCAGAGTAAGTAGTCAGAACCATCCCTAGGCGACGTGTTCAGTTGCTATATTCCTTTCTCCCACCTTCTCCAAGTGCCAGATACAAAAGTTTAATAAGCAACTGTAGAACACGAACAAATCTGTCTCATGAACCAGACAAGGATTTGATTCGCATCAAGCAGATTTAACTAAAAGTCCTTAATGGGATTGTTTAAGACAAAAAAGTTAGTACTGCAGAACACAAAATGAGGCTTAGGGAGCTGACACTTCAGAAGACTTGCAAACAGATAGATTTTACGACTTACACCACGCCACTGCAATGTACTGCATCAAAATTAGTACGAATTTTGAATCACATGTAATCCCCATTAGTCGTAATTTTTATGGCAGCATTACCGGCTCGTGATTGAAGAACCTAGACCTTCATTCAACCACAACTTTTTCTTAATTTGCTTTATTCCATGTGGGATAAAAGTAGGGAGTGTTGACTGCATACCTTCTTCGTAAGCGTCACGCAGATCAGCAATGTCGGCATTGTTGGAGGTGCAGACGACTTGAATAATGACCCTCTCCTTTGTCCCCATACCAGCCATGGCTTTGAATAGGGCATAAGCGTGGAGGTGTGGTCTATCGAAGAAGGAAGCCAAGACCACCTTCCGAAACTTGCCTGAGAGCTCTTTCTTTAGACGGCTTAAGAGATCCTGTAAAATAATGTAAAATCAGGAGGGAAAGATATTTTGTTAGCACGTTTACTGACAGTGTTGCATATACATGACACTGGACCAGATGTCACAAATGTGTGACGTGTGTGCTGACTTGTGTCCCAGACGATAAAAGAGGAATTAGATGTCTGGCTTTTTAAATTCTTATGATTGCTCAATTATCGATGGTTGATTTACCTCTCAGGCACGGGAAGCAAACCTTCTAAACGAATGTAATCTGCGTTTTCTGGTGACGAGGATAATACAACACAAACGCATGCACTAAAATATTCGCTGCATGGAATTGGCAGTGGCTGTCAGTAGAGATTTGCACATTATCTCTGCTATATTTAATGTAGCGCATTCATCCTGAGCTATGATGTGTGTAGTGATACCCTTAAATATTGAAAAAGCGTAGAGCATATTCGGTTTCTATAACCTAAGAGGTGTAATGGTAGTTATTTAGGTAAAAATGACTTTCCATGATATGGCGAATTTTAGACCTCACGTCTCATTTCTTTGAAAAAGCTATTTTTATATTCTGCGGGGAATACAAAATACTAGGGCGAAGTTGCGAAACGAGAGGACAGCAATTCAGGCCTCAGAAAGACGTGTTGAAGTTACTCACAGCCCATGATAAAATGTGTTTCTACATCGAATTTCAGCAGTTTGCCCTTTTTGAACATTCTAGAAGCATCTCACAGAGCCCTCGCTGACTCCTTCCTCATTGGTTCACATTATGGTCAGACACCACAAAAAGGTGAAGACCAGTCAAAATAGCATGAAATCCGTAAGAATGAGACCATTCCTATGACTGAGCACTCTATTCAGTTAATTTGAGCACAGTTATCATGTTCTCAATTACTTTGGCTGTGATGCTCAGTTTATCTCTTTTGTTTGATATCTCGGACCTCACGCACCAGTGGATCGTAACAATAATGCCCACTTAAGGAGATTCAGTGACCCAAATGGCTTCAAGTCAGTGTTGACCTTATCCCTCCGTTTTCACAGCTCGTTAGGTTATAAGTTTGCCTATTGTGGGGTTCCTATTGCATGATGAGATATCTGGCAATTCTGCAGACAATCTCCTGCTTTTGTAATATGAATTTTCGCCTAGAAATCCGAAACCAAGGTCAACCATACAATCTACCTCAAGCTGGCGATTAAATTTTCATAAACCCCATTAAAATCCACCTTTTTTTATCGGTAGGTAAGGTCCTCTAATAGTTTTACTGGAGATATAATACTCACTCTTCCGTAGCACGCTTTGTAGACATCGGCAATCTTCTGTCTTTGTTCAACCGTTCGATTGCCCAGAATGTCAATTATGACATTTTCATCGGTTCCTAATACAAAACGGAGGAGAAAATAAGGAAAAAATGTCACATCAAGAGCGCTTTCAGGAGTGAGTCACGTTGTGACTATTGTTTCTTGCAGGAGAGCAAAGCTTCTTACTAATTTTGTTTCACTTCTATCTGCTGAAGACTAAAAATACTTAGTTACTGAACCGCATAGCATGTAAGGAAAGTGGTTAAAAAACCAGTTTGCTTTTCTGGGAATGCCTGTTTTTCTATCAAAAAAATTATGGAATAGTGGATAACATGCTTGCCATTCGGTGTTGAAAGTACCCTTCATCATTCATGAATAGCGTATAAAAATGCCAAAAAGTGAAGATGTTGGGAGAGAGGTTGATAAACATGGATCTTTTCAAGATTCACCTAATCCCTTCATAGCCTTTTCCAAGGCCTGCGCATCCATATCCGGATCGAAGTGCGGTGACATTCTTCTTTCAACTTTAAATAACATAAATTTTTTATCAGTAAAGTTTTTAAAGATCAAATTGCTGTTTACAAGTACTGGGAGATTTACCTCACAAGTTAGAATGCAATTTTTGGAGGTTGATGCAAAAGGTGGAAAATATTACGAATTTTTTAGCAAATCATGCATGCAAATGTGATTAGAACAGAGCAACAGACCTATAGAACAGTTTTGTTAATCTAACTCGTACCACTCCCAACAAGTGGGTTTTATTCTCTCCTCTGAATGCACTTTTTCGTCATAAATGGATGCAGTGGGGACACTCAGGTGACCAAAATTTGTTTAAAAAGGTCTCTTCAGCACGGGTTTTGTGAGTGAAATCGCTAATTACCAGTTGATTAATCCTCCTTTTATGATAGGAAATAGCATCTACTTTTCACTTCTTGGTTGTTTCGTTTAGCTACTGTAGGGATGCGCCATTAACGCTTCAAATGCATAAACATGTGCAATACATTAGTTGTTTAAGCCTCAGCCTTGGTAAAGGGACCAATTTAGGTCTCTGCCATTGTACTTTTGTCAAGTAGGGAGGCATTTGAGCCATGCCAGTAGCCTGAAGTCCTACTCTTTGGCAAATATACATATTTCTCCTGAGTATTATGCCTTATTTAGACTTCAGGAAGCCTTGAGGCGCTAAACAGGTAGGTAGAACATTTATTTTAGAAAGTTATGTAGGACCAGGAGCTTCATTAAACTCGACTTTAGTTGGACACTTCAAGTGTGGAGAAGCATTTAAGATGAACATAAGATCTGTGCAAAAGGGCACACAGATCCGGGAACCCCACTGTATTACCACCACTTATTCTTCTGTAACAAGGATAGCTTGGCATGCAAAGTCGCTTTTTTTACCAGGGAAATCCTCAAGGATGCTACTATCCACTTACCGTAATTTGAAGCCCTAGAAGTAAATTCAATTGCTCAAGCAGTCCATTTGCTATGCATCCCACAAAAGAATCAATTGTAAATGAAACATGCAAATAATCAATTTAGTAGAATATGAAATTTCTGCGGAATCCTCAAATAATTATTTTCATTTTACAAGTTGATACAAATAAACTTTTTACTAAACATATATGCACTCGATCAATCCACTTAAGCTACCTAAACAGTTTACTGTTTAGAATAATTGTTTGAGAGAAAAACCATGAATGAGTGTTTAAGTCACTTTTCGAGGATTTTTGTCCTCAATTAGTAAAGATTACACAAATAAAATTCCCATTTGCAGCAAAGAAATCCAAAAAGACCATTTATCTTTAGTAAAAATCGCATATTATAGACAGTTTGGGCTTGACTTTTGGTGTAAGACTAACGAAGCTTAGACTCAGTTAAGCACGTGGATGTTAAAACAAGTTCATCGTGGTGTTACGAGACCCCAAAAGAATGCAAATACACGCGATGGGAAAACAACATCAGAGCTGCAGCCGGGAATTTCCCAAACAAAAGCTCACACATTAGATGGTTTAAAGGATTTAACAGAATTACCCAAATCGCTTTACCAACACTTATTTTCAAGTAAATGCTCAATCACTGGTTTCAATGCTCTGGAAGCAATTGACCCAAATCGAGCTTCAGGTGACCGCTGTAAAGGGATTCGCATTAACAAGGTACAACTGCAGGTGACACTGGAAGTGCGAATTTCTGCTGCAGAAAGTACTATAAAATGAGCTCAAAGGTGGTGTGAAAATTTTCTCTTTGTCGCTCAAAACACCTTTTGTGAATTAGTACCTTTACTTAACACATTTGCTACCAGTATTCCACATACGCAGCGCCCTAATTGTGTTACTCGTGCCCGTACAGTGAGAATTCGAGGCAGTAAATACAAAAGAGGTGGTAAAAGAACAACAAAACCACAGAGATTAGGTGACTAATATTCCCGCTCGATTCTGATGACCAGTATACCGGAGCAAACGAAGGGAAGTTTTAAAAAATGTCGTCGTAGAAAGAGGACCATGGCTCCCAATGCGATGTCAGTTTGTATTAGAAAATGCAAAAATTGTTGATTTATAAAAATCAAAGCACGGAATCTTATTGCTTATATGAGTGGGTGGTCTGTTCGCTCTCTACAGCTTGCACAGTCATCACCCTTCGGCTAGGCTCACCGTCACCAAACTCACATCGTCTAATCCTATCTACACGCTTGCAATAAACTATTCCCCAACACATGTGGGTAATAGCGTCTTTGAAATGGTCTTAGTACTGCTTTAGAATGACCTTCATACCTGTTGAAATACATGGCAGAAATTCGTGTCAGAGATGCGTACGATAAGCAGAAATTACACCCTTATATAGAGAGCCTCAGTACCTGCTACAAATATAGCAACTGGAGGGACTAATAAGAAGTGACAAAAGTGATTTAAAGGATGGTGAGGAAAATTCCTAACAAAAGCCCGTTTCTGAGTGTATAAGGTATAAGGAATGGATATGACAGAAGAATGAGGCTTAATATACGTCAGATTGCTCTTAAAAAATTACAGTTTCTGACGTTTATTTGTTGGGACTAAATTAGTGCGGTTACTTCACACTTTTATAGTAATATCTATCCTTGCAGGAGAACGCTGCAAGAAGCTGATGCATTATAAACAGAAAACGTACCCGCATTTTGCCCTAAAAGAGTGGATGTAAATAAGGAAGGAAGGCAAAGCGCTACGACAAGATCCTTTCAAGACGGTGAAGTGTAGATAAAGATACGGTTGAAGATGAGGGCATTTAAACCTATGGGGTATTTCAAATTATTTCAAATGTACGTATTTTATTTCTGCAAATTGTCCTTCATAAAGAAACCCACTTTGTACAGCTTCTTGTCTTTTATGGGATTGCATATATTATTAGGGGCAAAATTTTCAAATACGCGCGGTAACCGATTGACGTGAAGTATATACAGGGAGAAATGATCACTAAGAATGAGCGAATTAGACCAGTCACGCTAATTATTTTTAATCAAAGGCCTAAAATTTATGCCTACTGAATAGTGCGTAATCACTCCCATGACTTTAGACCTTACAGATCTTTGTACGCAATCAGTAAACTTGGTGTGCGGATGGCCCATTGAAGCAATGGGGGTTGGAGAAACTGACGGAGGCGACGGTATTCTAACAATGGTGGTGATGGATTGACGTGAATTGTGTCAATCTGCGTTTAAAAAACCTGCTGACAGGGATTAACACCTCAAAGGCTGATCTGGAATATATGAAGGAGACCTATTAAGGGTTAAAAGACAATAGTCTGGAAAAGCAATTAAAAGTAGCATTTCGTTCTACCACGGAGTCTCCGTCCTTGTACTAGTGTGTCGATAAATCTGAAATACTGCTGCTTTCTGTAACCCACTAACAGAAAGTCACATCTTGTTTTCAAGATGCAGTCTCTGATTTTTAGGTAAAATTCTGCGGTTAGGTTGATAAGTGCATACACTATGTTGCTGTTTGGTTTGCTTATGAGAGTAATTCGCGACAAATGTATACGTAGATTAAAGGTTATGGTGGTGAAAGATATTGTAACACAAGGGGATGCAATATGAGTTGATCGAGGCACAAGGCGGTATATGATTACCAAAAATGGAAAATTTAAAAGTATGAGATGCTTAAATCTGCTTCTTAACGGTTGCTCTCTTGTAAGTTTTTAGGCCGCCGCTCAGTTTGTGCGCAATGTGTTTGCGCCGGAGCTTCGATGGACTACTCCGGATCCAACTCTCAGATTGGTAAGTGGAAAAGTCATTTACGGCCAGTCTACGAACATGGCATTTAATTAACCTTGCACAGGATGTGCTATTTACAGAGTGATATCACATTTGCTCCCTTTTCTGCCTTTCCGCAATAAAATCACTCGCTTTTATTCTGTTATAATTTCTAAGGTTCTTACACTTATCAAAACTATGCATTTTGATGGATCAAAGAAGTTCTATATAGCTCTTGGTCTCCTAAAGTACACCGATTATTTAAGTAGCGCTGGTGGTTCCATTCAGTCTGACTAATAATGCGCTAATTCAAATTGAAAAGTTAGACTGTCCGGGCACGTAGTGTTGGCAGTCCGTTGGACATCTGCCAACAGCAGCGCACATTTTTCGAGTATGCGCTGGTTACGTATTTACTGCTCCAACCTTAATTTTTTGCCTTAGTTTCTAAAACCACTGGTCATTCCATTGTATTTAACAACAAAGCCGACCCCCTCCTTTGCCCTCCGAAGGGGTTAAATGGAGTTGCCACCTAACCAGTTTATTACCCCAAGGCCCCGATGTTTTACTCTATTGAAGATAAAGTGGAGTACCCTCCTCTTGGAGGTCAGCTTGGCTGCTGCCGTGTGCCATCTGTTTAAGACGGTCATGCTAATGGTAAACAAACACTAGTAAACATCAAATCACCCCATAAAATAACCTGAAGGATTTAAAAATCTAGTCCATAAATTTGGCATTGCTCACTTATGAGTGAGTGCTTCAAGAGGCCTTCCCATATCCTGTCACCATTACATTCACATCGGGCATCTTGTAAACACAGCCACGAGATTCGCATAGCCCTGATATCTAGATTCTATAGACACAAAGAGCATGAAAGTTCATTATGAGGTACCACTAGGTAGATGGAGAGATGTGGGAATGTACTGTATACCACCAAAGACCTGAGACGAGGCATCGGATAAAACAATACCTGTATATTGTGTAAGGCACAGTGAATGGCCACCAGCATCCTGCCTTTTCGAGGCCGTGATTTTCGCACAACCTGCACGTTATACAGGTCGCGCAGTTGCTTCGCACCTTCACAATCACATTTATCAGTACAAAAGTAGATTAATGAAAGCTAGCTAATTGTAGGGGGAAGAAGTATTTACATTTCAACTCAAGGAGTGTGAGGTTAAACGGGTTAGAAGTAACGGAAATGTTGCAAAGTAGTGCGGCCACACTTCTTCGAGGCGATAAATATTAAACAAATTGGTTTAATGACAAAGATACTATGCAGCCTGTTTTGACCGCTATGACT